GCCAAGAAACGTGGAGCAAGAGCTAGAACTGCTGTGTCGGCTGGATCCTTTTTCCATGAACTTAGAGAGGAAGCAAAACCTGCTGCCCTCGAGCTTTCTGCTGCGCTTGGGGGGCCTGCGCAGGGAGCCTTTCCTGGCACGTCCCCTTCCAGGAAGCCTTGGGGACGTCCCGCTCTGCGGCAGCCCTTGGGCTGCTTTTTCACTTAGGATGCAAAACGCGGGAAGTGCTGATGGGCTCCGTGTGCAGGAACACGGGATTGGGAGTAGATTGGTCATGTTTGGTGTCTTCGCTGTCACATGCAGGTGTCATTGCGTCTGCCCCAAGGAGCCGCCTGAGCGCTGCGGCTCCCTTCGGAGCTGGTGGGATCCGAGTGGACACCAAGCACTTCGGAATATCCTTGACTCACAGTTTCCGGAGTGCAAAGTCAGTGGAAAAGCTTTCCTGCGTGGTGCAGCTCCCGCCTTTCCGTGGAAGCGAACCCAGCCCGAGCCGGGGGCGAGCTCAGGGACGTGGCCTGCCCGCTGGCTGCAGCTAAGAGCTTTAGTCCCTAATCCCCTGCACGGCCCCTGGCTCCGGAGCGCGGGCCAGGACTCTGGAACCGCTCCGTGCTCGCCTGGGCGAGGAGGCCGCGCCGCCTCCGACCTCCCCGCGCTGCGGGCGCAGGAATCGCGGAGCAGGATCAGCACGTTGGGAAGGGCAGCCCCGAGCACCAACACGGGGGTGCAGACCTCGCAAGGGGCAGCACGGGCTGATGCGTCGCATCCCGGCGTGCGGAGCGGCCCGTGGAGCTGGGATCCGACCGGAGGCAGAGCAGGAGCGGAGCGCGTTGGGAAGCGCTGGCTGCGGAGCCAAGCAGCTGATGGGTGAGAATAGGCTCCCGGCTGTCGCTGCAGCCTGGCAAAAACACCCCTGTTTCACAGCGGATTTAAGTTTAGCTTCTGGCCCTTTTTCTCTTCTTTTCCTGTTTCTGCCTTTAGAGGTATTTTTTTAATGGGCCCTTGGAATCGGTCCTGCTCTGCAAGGGCTCTGGGGCAGGAAGGAAGGCAGAGGCTGTTGGGGGGGGGAGAAAAAAAGAAGAGCCAATGTGTAAATGGGTCCGTGCGTGTGTGCGACTTCCCAGCGCTGCTGCCGCACGCAGGGCAGTGGCGACAACCGGGCTCCGAGTCCCGCGCGCCCCAGAAGCAGGAGATGAGCCCGTAGCCGGGGCCCGGAGCGCGTGGGTCTGTCCCGCCGGCCCTGTGCTCAGCCCGGTGCCGACCTTGGGCAACCCCGGAGCCGAGCGCGGCCGCCCCGCGGGGCTCCTGCCTGGAAGTTCCTGCCAGGAAGAGGGTTGTGCTGCGTGTGCCGGGCTGGGGAGAGCAGGACACAGGGAACTTCTGCTTTTGTGGCCGTTATCTCGAGTTCACAGAACTGACGTTGTTTTCCTTTCGTGAGATAGGGGCAGCTTTGACTTTCTTTTCTTGTTTCCTCTTGAATGATGTGGCACGTTCTGGCTTACATAAGAAAACCCAAAATTGCTGCTGCATTGCCCGGGTTTGGGGTTTGCTCCTGCGAAATGAAAGTGAACGCTGGGCTGGGGCAGCCCTTGGAGGAAGCAGCGTTTTGTGAGGGAGATCTCCATCATTTCTGGAAAAGCCCCTTCCAGACCATCGCTTGGAAAGCGTGCCTTGCAGAAGGGCCTCGACCACGTTAAGGACCAGAGCCCCACGTTCTGTTCCAGGCTTTCCCAGCCAGCTCTCAGCAAAACCCTTCAAGCTTGTGCAAACGCAGAGCTTAAATGAGAAGCTGCCGCCGATCTCGCTGAGCGCCGGCTCTGCCCGGTCTTGTTCCTTCTGCAGACGCCGGTTCCCAGGCCGGGATGTGCCCCGGGCAGGGCCGGGCTCCGTGCGCTCTCCCGCCTGGCAGCGCTGCCGCCGAGAAGCAGCGCGGGCCTTGGGAGCCGCGGTCCCGAAGTACCCCGTGCTTGCTTACGTGCATTTGTAAAACAGGCAGTTTGCACCCCTAGAATGTAACAGTGCTACACACATCTTAATCTTGCAAGCAGCTGTTGTCCAGGGAGCATCGGGAAAAGCACTTAAGCAGTTCTGTCTCTTCCATGGATGCTGAAATTAATACCTTTCTGCTGTGCCACTTTGTTATTTTGTGCCTTTGGAGGCTGAAGTGCTGACCCAGGGACACGTGGGCCCCGAGCTCCAAAGACCTGGTGAGTGTTAGGTATTTGTGCACAGCGAAGGCGTCGTGCTCGCGTTAATCCTGCCAAACGTGGGGCTTTCTCATGTGCCTCCAGCTTCCCCTTCTGTGGGAGTTCTGAGGCTCATTTTCTAGGGTGCCCAGTGTCCCAGGGTGCCCTCCCGTATGGGTTGGGGGGAGGAATGAGTGCTCCGAGCTGCTGCTTTCATCCCAGCTCCGCTCTTGGCAGCGGTTAGCGGTTCACCCGCATCGCCCGGCGCCGTGCTCAGGGTTTCAGGTTGAACCGTGACGAAGGAGGGGTCGCGGATAGGATCCTGCCCATGATTGTGCTGCCCGGGGCCTGGCCCCCGTTCCCTTTCATTTTGGGGCAGAAAACTCCAACAGAAAACCACAGTGGGCAGCCGGAACCAGGACCCGCTGCAGCCAAATTGACCAAATTACAGCTCTTCTAGGACCATTTTGAAGACGTTTACCTTGAGTTGCATGGCTGGGAGCCCTACTGGGGAGGGCTGGGAGTGCCAGACTGAGGATCTCAGAGTTCTTGGCTCTTGTCGTATGAATAAACCGTCGTTGGAGGCCCTGTCTCCCTCCTGGTCCTGCTTCCTGCACCCACTGGTGTGCGAGGAGGAAAACCCGCTGCCGGTGCAGGTGCCGACCTGGTGCTCGCGGCCTCTGCCCTGCTGCTTTTGGTTTCTTTGGTTCATAACCAACACGTGCAGAATGCACAATCAGCGTCTCGGAAAAACAGCAGCAGGAAAGAGGAAGCTCCTGCAGAATATAAATAACCAAATTTTAAAAAGTACCAGTGTAGCAGCTCGCTGCTCCTTGGCATGAGCTTAGCCACGGCTGCCGGGAAGCCGCGTCCGCCTTGTGCAGTTTGCAAAGCTGGAACTTTGGGGGATATCACCCAAGTCAGCAGGAAAAAAATGAAGGAATTTGACAGTCTTGAATATAGGAAGGAAATGAAATTTGCTTCTACGCGCATTAAAATTAGGTGTATCCTCCACACGTGACACAGAGCACGAGTGAAACCTGCTGCTCGGTTATGGCAATACTTTCCACTGTGGTCGCTCAGCAGCTGCCAGTGATTCATTGATCGATCCTGGGACATTCTGTACTCTCAATGTGATTTATTTATTAATTTTAATTGCATCCCAGCAAACATCCGACTTGTTTTATTTGATGCTTTTTATCTAGAGTTGGAAGCTGCTTATCCAGATCTCTGCTCTGAGTGACGCTGTACCAGGCTGTGGTCCTGCTAAATCTAGAGCTTTCCTCCAGCCAAAAGCCAACGTAATGGGAAGCTCCAGAGGGGAATGATTTGGAGATTTTAGATTTAGATCTTAGATTTTCCTGGCAGACAGAGAGGCCAGGAGAGCTGGCGCAGAGCCCTGCTCATAGTGATCTCCTTTCTCTATCACGTACGGCCTTGGGCAGGGGGTCTGCAGCCCTGAGAAGCATCTCAGCAACATTGGCTGAAATGGGCTGCAGGTCGGTGGCACCTCTGTGTCGGGCTCTGCTGGCAGGCTGGTCAGCGGCAGGCTCAGCGTGTGGCAGAGCAGCCTCCGTGTTTGCTTTCGTGGGTGGCACAGGGTGGCTGAAGGTGGCAGGGGGAGAGAAGCCCCCTTGGTTTCGCCCCTTAGCACCCAGCTTGCCTTCCACGCTGCAGTGCTGGAGCCTGCCTGCGCCTGGGTTTGAGAGAGACGTTGGAGCCCGGCGCTCTGTCCCCTTGCCGAGGCAGGACGGAGACGTGTCTCCATATCCTGCTGTCTGGGAAGGCCCAGGGCCACGTGATGCTGGTGGGTGAACGAGTTTTCACACTCGAAGCCCAGGCCTGGAAGCAAATTGATGCCATAGCTCAACGCAAAGCGTGGTAGCTGTTCCGGGGGCTGCCGGTCGTCGCTGCTCCGTGGGGATTTCCATGCCCGGGCTGCGGGAAGCGCCGGGCTGCCCGGCTGGCACCGTGCGCGCGCGGGAGGGACTCGGCCTCCCGCTGCTCAACCCCCTCACTGCTTTTCCAGGCGTTTTCCCATATGGCCGGCAGTGGGTTTAGCAGCCACCTCCCACCGCGCCATGGGGTGGGGAGGGAGGGATCCCCGCAGGGTTTAAAGGGATCCGCTCAAATCCGCTTAGGGAGAGAGCCCTGACTCAGCAGCGCGGTGGGAGGGGGCCGGGCATGGCAGCGGGCAGGAAAACCGAGTTATCCTCGCGGGGCTCCCGGCCAGCGGGAGGCAGGAGAGCAGCCGGCAAAGCCCGGCTCCTGCCTTGGGATCTGCCTGTGGAAGGATCCCCTCTTTCCTAACCACGTTTTAGGAAGTCTCCATCCTGCTTGGAAGCAGAAAGCTGGGCCCAGTGGCCAGGGCGGGCTGCGACCATCCGGCACCGCTCTTGGGTCTCTTCCCGGCGCTCCAGCTTCCCCGACTCGAGTCTGTTCCTCGCGGAGGGGCCGCTCGCTGCTCGCAGGCAGCTCGGGGCCTGATTATTACCTGTTACATAAGGTGTGATTAGGCCACGAGCGCCGCGGAGCTCAGCCGCTGCAGGGGCAGATTCCGGAGGGGTCCGTCCGCCCCGGCGCGCGGCGTCGCCTCGGGAAGCGCGGGAGCAGCGTGTCCCTGGCCGGGCACAGCTCCGGGGTGCTTTGCAGAAGGGCTGGGACACCCCAAGGCGGGAATGAGGGAAGCCCGGAGCTTGCAAGGGGCCGGAGCTGCAGTGTGGGGGCACCCGAAGGGCTGGTGCCTCCTGGTCCGTGTCGGAGCGGCCCCTCTGCCTCCTGCTGTCCCCTCTGCCCTGCCGGGGTGCCTCACCCCAGCCCGCAGCAGCATCTCCCGTGCGTTTTTCCTCCTCGTCTCACGGTGTGCTGTGTTGTCCCGTGCAGAGCTCCACACAGGAGATCGGAGAAGAGCTGGAGGATGGCGTGATCTACAGCATCTCGCTCCGGAAAGTGCAGCTCCATCACACGGCCAACAAAGGGCAGCGCTGGCTGGGGGTAAGCGGCGCCCAGACCCTTCCCTGCCGGAGACGCAGTGCAGGCTTTGCACGAGTCCACATCCTGCCCTTGCTGCAAGAAGGGTTAAAAATTGGTCCCTTGTCCTCTTTGTCCCTCTCGCTGCTGCTAAAGAGCCTGTTCTGGCTGCGACTCTTCGCGTGGCTCCTGTTTGCAGACAAAGCTGCTGCCTGCGGCCGCAGCGGAGCCGAGCGAGGGGCCGCAGGGCCGGGCCCTCGCGAAGCGCCGCGTTTCAGCCCACTCGGCTGCCTCGCGGTGCCGCCGCTCCCGGCGCTCCCAGGCCTGGCTGTCTGCGGGCAGACACGGAGCAGAGGTGACACGAGACAAGGCCACCCGGTTCATGGAGAGTGCAGGGAGGAGCTGCCGTGTGGGCTGCGGATCTGCTCTGCCCTTCCACGTGTGCATCAGCTTTTCTTTCCCTCCTGCATTTTTCCCCCTTTTTTCCCCCCTTTCTGCATTTCCTGAACTGAAGGAATATTTGCACTGGGCAAGGCAGCAGCCAGGGCTAAAGAGGAGCTGATGTTCTCCCTCCCAGAGCTCCCCATACACATACCGTGTGGTTTTGGCCCCTCTTTAGTGCCAAAATTGCCTTGTAAACAGAAGGGAGTCCGTGCACCGTGCAGCAGGTCAGGTCTTCTCCGCGTGGGCCCGTGGGAGCGTTGCTTATCCTCACGGGAGCTTCAGTTCCCCTTGGACGTGGGGATTGGTGCAGCAGGGCCACACTGCAGCGGAGCGCGTCCCCCAGCCGCGGGGCCACCTGCGGTGCTGCCAGCGCCGCCTCCGCCTCGCTGCGGTCACCAAGCAGAAGTGCGGGGCTCGCAGCTGCTGGGAAGGGACTTTCAGCCACCCCGAGGCCTTTCCTGGGGCTTTCCGAGCGCTCGAGCCTTCTAGGCTGGTCGCTTGGTGTCCGAGGGGACCTGGCCTCCCTTTCAGAGCAACGGCTGCTCGTGCTGCCGCGGGGCAGAGCAGCACCGGGCACGTCACGAGAGCGCCGGCGTCGTGACGCTCGTCACAGCCGCGTCCAGCCCGCTGACTCCTGCTCCTGTCCTGGCAGTTTGAGAACGAGTCTGCCTTGAACCTCTACGAGACGTGCAAGGTACGGACCATCAAAGCTGGCACCTTGGAGAAGCTGGTGGAGTACCTGGTCTCGGCCTTCAAGGGCAATGACTCTACCTACGTCACCATCTTCCTGTGCACTTACCGGGCCTTCGCCACCACCAAGCAAGTGCTGGACCTGCTGCTTAACAGGTGAGGCTGCTGCTCACTCCCAAACGCGCTGCTGGGGGCTTGGCACCTTGGCAGGGGAGCTCCTGTGGCCTTGGCTGCTGACCAGCCGTGGGTCGTTGCCCGTTTGGGATCTGGTCCTTCTCTTAGCCCCACCAAAATAAAGGTTTTCAGGAGAGAGCTCTGCCAGAGCCTGCCTTGCCATTGCTCATCCGGCCATCTGTGATCCAAGCTGTCTTGCTGCCCCCGTCCCTTGCACGTGCTCCGTCTCCTTGTATATTCCTGCCCAGCACGTGTGCCTGTCCGGAGCAGCGGGACGGTGTTTGCAGGAGCATGAGGCTGGGGCACCCTGGTGGGATGGGGAGAGCAGGACAGCATCAGGGAGGTTCATCCTGAACAAAGCCCTGCCAGAGCCGCTGGGTGACAAGGACCAGACCTGGAGCTGAGAGGCAGCAGGCTCAAACACTCAGTGTCTCCTCGTTGCGCTCCCACCAGGTATGGCAAACTGCACGTGCAGCCGAACGGGGACCACGCCAGGCATGCCGTGGACGAGAGGACGGAGCTCAAGAAGTGAGTAGGACCTTGCTGCAGGGAGGGGCTGCATCTCTTTCTCTTGGCTTGCAAAGGCTGGCATGGAGCCTTCCTCAGGAGGCCAAAACCTCACGGATGCTGGAGATGGGCTCCTCGCTGCGAGGCCAGGGCCTGGGTGCTGGGAGCAGAGATGTCACTGAAACCAGTTGCTGAGGCTTGATCCCCTTCCCAGCTGAGGCCCGTGGGCTGGCAGGGTTTCCGGAACAGCGGGGTCGAGTCTAGTTTCTTGTTGTGAGCACTGTGCCACGTTCCCTCTCCTGTCTAGTCTTTTCCTGGGACTAGCCCTGTGGCAGCACGTGGCAGATAGGTGGCTGCACTGATGGTTCTTCAGCTGTACGGTGGCATGCGTGGTCCTGGTCCCCAGGTGCACACAGGTTCATGTGACGCCCACGTCTCACCCGAGCCTGCCCCTGCTCCCCCTTCTCCCTGCAGCACCATCTCCTCCATCCTGGGCGCCTGGCTGGACCAGTACTCCGAGGACTTCCGCAAGCCCCCGGACTTCGCCTGCCTCAAGCAGCTCATCTCCTACGTGCGCCACAACATCCCCGGCTCCGACCTGGAGCGCCGCGCTCGCATCCTGCTCCACCAGTTTCAGCAGCAGGAGCACAGCGAGGCCGAGGCGGAAGGTGGGGGCTGTTCCACTATGGGGAGCCTGGGGCTGTGGGGGAAGATGGTGCCATTAGCGCTGAGGGTCTCCAGACCCTCAGGTCTCACCGTGTGGCTAAAGTCCCAACTTCAGTTACGTGGGGGAGTTCATCCAAGTGAACTGGAAGTGAGATTTCCAAAGGGATTAGCTAATCTGCATTTCATCCTCAGCAGACACATCCAGAGTTAACGTGGCTGTGCTTTTATCCCAGCCTGGTTCCCCGAGATGGGGAACCAGCCTGGAGAAGCTCTTGAGCTGGGATGTGGGTGTGTGCAGGGGTCAGCGTGAGCCCCGGTGCAGGGACCTGGGCTCGTGGCGGCGCGTTCGTGCTCAGCCTGGTCCCCTTCCCTCAGCTGTGGACCACGGCAGCTGCCCCTTCCAGCTGGGCGAGGAGAACGGCCTCGGCGAGGGCAAGTCCGACTTCCTTTCCTTCTCCCCGGAGATGGTGGCGGAGCAGTTCACGCTGATGGACGCTGTGAGTATCTGCTCGGCAGCCAAGTCCCTGGCTGCTGTGCGCCGGGGCACAGCGCTCTGCCTACCTGCTGCTCTGGGCACAGGGAGACCTCCTCCCTCGCTCCCCGCTGTGCCTTTTGCTGCTTGGCTTCTCTCATTCCGCAATCCCGGAGACCCATCTCCATCCCTCTGTCTTCCAGGAGCTGTTTAAGAAAGTGGTGCCTTACCACTGCCTGGGCTGCATCTGGTCGCAGCGAGACAAGAAAGGCAAAGAGCACCTGGCACCCACCATCCGTGCCACCGTGTCGCAGTTCAACAGCGTAGCCAACTGCGTCATCGCCACGTGTCTCGGGGACCGCTCGCTGAAGCCGCAGCAGAGGGCCAAAGTGGTGGAGCGGTGGATCGAGGTGGCTCGGGTAGGACCGCGCTCCATCCCGCCGCAACACAGGGCTGGGGTTCACAGCGCGCGAGTCCCAGCAAGGGCCTTGAGTCTGTGTCCTGAAAGGCAGCTCCGTGCAAGGGCACCGAGTGGGAACCCGCTCTCCTTGAGCAAGCGGTTTGCAGGGTTGATCTGGAGTGTCGTGTGATGTGAACTGGTGCACGGCTGACTGTCCTGTGCTGACACTGGCTCCCACGTCCCCTTGTCTGTCCTCAGGAGTGCCGCATCCTGAAGAACTTCTCCTCGCTCCGAGCCATCCTCTCAGCTCTGCAGTGCAACGCCGTTCACCGGCTGAAGAAGACGTGGGACGAGGTCCTACGGTGAGCAGAACGCGCTGCGACGCTGTGAGGGGAAGGCTGCTGCCCCGTGTTGCTTTTTTGGAAGGAGGGGGCAGCAATGCCATGGGGTTGTGCTGTAGCTGTGTCCCTCGAACGCACAGATGGGGTCATTTCCTTGGCTTCAGCATCACCTCTTGGAGGGTGTCCTCAACCCAGGGACAAGCTTAACACGTTAGTGATCCAAGGAGAGTGCAAGCAGCATTGCTGCCTCCTCCCTTCCCTGCCTAATGCCCCGGGATATCCCCGAGGAGCCGGAGCAGTGAGTGCTGATGGGGCAGGCGTAGGGCACCCACCTGCCCAGCACTGTTGTTGCTCATGTCCCCATCTCTCCATGCGCAGGGAGAGCTTCCGCACCTTCCACGAGCTCTCAGAAATCTTCTCCGATGAGAACAACCACTCTCTGAGCCGGGAACTCCTCATTAAGGTACGGGCAAGCGGGTCCCCACCTCCCACCTTGCTGCATCTCTGCCAGGAATGGCAGAATTTCCTGCCTCGCAGCCCCCGACGGCGCCGCCGCGGTCGAGCCGCCAGCGTGCGGGCAGAGAGCCCTGGGTGACATCCCGAGCCCGCTCCGTGGGTCGCTGCGGCCGCTCTGCACCGTGTGGGGTGGCACAGGGGTGTCCAGAGGGGTGGCCAGCCAAAAGAGCAGCTTGCTCGGCTCTGCCTGTGCAAATCTCAGACAAGGCTGGCTGTGCCTCTGTGTTCGTGTCAGCTCGGCGCTAGGAGGGACTCGCTGCTTGTTGGGAGTTCAAACCTCTGCCGGGCCCGCGGGGAGAGCCGGCTCTGGGGCACTGCTGAGTCACCAGGGCAGGGGTGGCTTGTGTGGCCATTTCAGACAGGGTTTGGCTTCAGACGAGGCTTCCCGCTTTTCCACCCGAAGTCGTCGCTGCTCCCAGAGCAGCTCAGCAGGTAGAGATAAGCTGTTGGATGCGATCCCACGCGCCAGATGCGGCCTCTCCCCAGAGGCGGCCGCCTGCTAACAGCCCCGTGCAAAGGGCAGCTCTGTGGGACGGCCTCTCCGTTAAGGTGGGGCTGGCGGCTGCAAAACTGCCCTTTCCCCATGGGACCTTCCTTGGCTTTGCAGCCGAGCTGCAGCCTGGGGCTGAGATCACCCGGGATCCAAAAGGGAACAAAACCTCCCATTGAGGAGCTGTTTATGCGCAGAGCCCAGCGCGGGAGCAGCGCCTCTATTCACTGCCACTGTCCTCCCTGTTCGCCAGGAACAGGCTGGGCTTTGATTTCCTCCCCTTCCCCTTGTCTGCAAGGGAAGTTGTACCAATAAAAGTGGGTGTGAAATTCAGCCTATCTGTCAGTGCCACTTCCCCTGTGGACATTTGTTATCTTTTGTCAAATGGTCTCTTTTTCCTAGTTCAGTTCTGTGTTATCTCGTAAGGTGATTTTGCGGTCATCTGCGAAAGAGTTTCTTTCCTGAGGTTTTGAGCTCTTCCAAAAGAGAAAAGCTCTTACAGAATGAAAGAAAAAGTTCTTGCAAAATGAGGTGGTGTCTTATCTCTGTTTTGCTGATTGGGAAATCTAGGCGCAGAGAGAAAGTGCAGCAGACTTTGCGGGGCTAGATGGGGAGCTGCTGGGTGGGTTCCCCCCCTTGCTGAGCCCTGCTCTCCCCTCCATCTAGGAGGGCACGTCCAAATTCGCCACCTTGGAGATCAACCCGAAGAGGGCTCAGAAGCGGCAGCAGCAGCAGCGGGAGATGGTGAGTGGGGCATCGCCAGCTCCCTCCTCAGCAGCTCCCAGTGCCGCTCCAGCTCTGTGCTGACGCCGCTGCTGTCCCTTGCTGTCCCCTCAGGGCGTGATGCAGGGCACCATTCCCTACCTCGGCACCTTCCTCACAGACCTGGTGATGCTCGACACCGCCATGAAGGACTTCCTGGACGTACGTACCACCTCCTCTACCCTCCTCTTCCTCACATCCGCGGGGAGGAGGGGTGACAGACAAAGGGCTGCGTCCCCGCGCATCCTCCATCCGACACTGCGCCTCCCTGCGCGCGGGAGCCGTGGAACATCCTGCCTGTTGCCCACGGCCGTGGCCGCTCTCGCACTGCCCCGTGGTGGGCATGGCCCGCACTGCAGCGGCAGCACCCGGAGCGGGCACAGGGATATGGAGAATATCCCTGTTCCTGCCTCACACCGATGCCTAATTCTTGCCTTTCAGGGAGGGCTGATCAACTTTGAGAAGAGAAGGAAGGTGAGAGCTTCTCACTTGCTGGCCACATGGCTGGATGGAGGGAGGAGGCTGATTTTGTGCATGCTCAGGCTGTGCCAGTTTTGGGGGATGATGTTCCCTCTTTTTGCTTTGCTGTCATTTTTTTTGTTTTGTGAGGGGGAGATGCTGGTCCCTCACAGGCATTTCCACGCGTAGGGCTGGGCTCTTTGGGGCTGACACCAGCTAAACAGAGCAGCTCTGACCACCTCCATTCCTGGCAGGAATTCGAAGTCATCGCCCAGATCAAGCTGCTTCAGTCGGCCTGCAACAACTACAGCTTCACACAGGAGGACCATTTTGTGGACTGGTTCCATAGCCTGGAGCGGCTGAGCGAGGCTGAGAGGTGAGCAGGAGAACACAAGCTGAAGAGCAGCTTCCTCATCCTCAGCACCTCGCTCGGCTTCCCGAGCCCCGCCAGCACGGTGCTGGGGAACGCGACGAGCCCAAACCCTCTTCTCTCCCCTCTCAGCTACGGGCTGTCGTGCGAGATCGAGCCTCTGTCAGAGTCGGCCAGTAACACGCTGAAGGCGAAGAAAAACACGGGCATCATCAAGCGATGGAGCGAGTGAGTCTGCTTGTCGGTGCCGGCAGACATGGGGTGGGAGCCTCCTGCCTCCTGCCGCTCTCCTGCTGGCTCTATCACGTCCTTCCTCCTCCCCTTCTCACCCTGGCATGTCCTTCCCTCTCTCCTGGCAGCCGGCAGCCACCGAGCAGCGAGCCCTGCACCAGCGGCAGCTCCCACTCGAAATCCTTCGACCAGCTCAAGTGCGGGCAGTACCTGTGCAGCGGGGACACCACCGACTCGGTGAGCGTCACGTCCGCCGGCTCCAGCAGCTCTGACGTGGAGGAGATCAACATCAGCTTCATCCCCGAGTCCCCCGACTGCCAGGAGAAGAAGGTACGGGGCAGCGCCCCGCGCGTCGGCAGGCAGGTGCGCCCAGCGCGCGGGGCGGCGGGACAGCGGGAGGGGGGTCCCTAGGGCTGTTTCGGACTCGCTGTAGCTCGGGAGGCTGCTGCTCTTTGCTGCTGGCGGGGGTTCGCCAGCCCCTCTCCGGTGGCTGGACGTGGGGTTGGTCCCCACTGTCGCAGCTCAGTGAGTTCCTCTGACCTCCCTTCCCCAGCGCTTGCACGCCCCGTCTCCGGCTGACGGAGGAGCTAAACCCACCGTGTCCTCTCCGTCCCCTCTCCTCCCTGCTCTCCAGTTCTGGGAATCCACCTCTCTCTCTTCCCTGGACACGTCGGGGATCGGCTCAGGCTCCAGCAGTGCCTCGTCCTCTTCCGTCTCCTCCACGCCGGTGACGGCCTCCCGTACCCACAAGCGCTCCGTCTCCGGCATCTCCAGCTATTCATCCCTCTCGCTGCCCCTCTACAACCAGCAGGTCGATGACTGCTGCATCATCCGTGTCAGCCTGGCCGTGGACAACGGCAACATGTACAAGAGCATCCTGGTTAGCACAGGGCACCGGCGTGGGCTGGGAGTGGGATGCGTGTGGAGGAGGCACTGGTGGGGCTTCCTGCACGAGACCAGCCTGGGATGGAGCCACTATTGGGATGCAGGGAGGTTTGGGACCATTGGACACGGTTTCTGACCTGTCAGCACTTTGCCGCTCCAGGATTAAGGCAGGCTCTGCTCTCATAGGTGACGAGCCAAGATAAGACCCCCGTTGTTATTCGCAAGGCCATGGCCAAACACAACTTGGATGGGGACCGTCCTGAAGACTATGAACTTGTCCAGATCATCTCGGAGGAGAGAGGTGTGTGTTGGGGAGCACGGGGAGCACTGGGGCTTGAGCAGGGCTGGGAGGGGATGTCAGATGGGTCTCAGTGCCTGGGGGCAGCACCATAACAGCTCTGGGCCCTACTCAGGACAAGGACACTCACCTAATCCCCACCCCTGGTGTCTTCCAGAGCTCAAAATCCCCGACAACGCCAACGTCTTCTACGCCATGAACTCTGCTGCCAACTACGACTTCGTGCTCAAGAAGAGGGGCTTCTCAAAGGGCGTGAAGATCAAGCACGGCTCCAGCTCCACCCTGCCCCGCATGAAGCAGAAAGGCCTGAAGATCGCCAAGGGCATCTTCTAGCCCCAGCCCCACTGCCACCCCTCACCGACAGGGCCTTGGGGGCCAGCTGCACCGGGGCCACTTGGTGCCACCGGGCACAGTGAGAGGAGCCGCCTCGGCCCGCGGGAGATGGCGACGCATCCCCCTCTTCCAGGGAGCCTCCCGGATCGCTGCGGCCGCCTGCCCGGGCCTCTCCCTGCACGAGCTCCCGTTTCAATCAGGTCTTTTTTTCTACGCAGGAAAGGCAGCAGGGGGATATTTTTCTTTTTGCAGTTGTGGGGTTTTGGGTTTTTTCTTCCTTTTTTTTAAAAAAAAAAAAAATCTCTCCTTCCACGGTGCGACACCAGTCCAGCCGCCGGCCTGCCCCGAGCTGGATCCCGCCTCTCTGCCGTAGGTGCCTTGTGTCTGCGCGAGCCGGGGGGCCGGCGACTCGCGGATGGAGCCGTTTGCTGGGGACCTTTGCTGGTCCCGGGGTTGTTATATCTCCCGCTCCTTCCTCCCTCCTGCTGGCATCACCGCCGCCTCCCGCCCCCGTCCCGGGAAGACTCCCGCAATGGAGGCAAAGCCGGGCAGGCTGCCGCTGGCGCGGC